TCATCCGTGCTGCAATTACTGTGAGTTCGAATCTCACCAGGCTCAAGGTTGACTCAGCCTTCCATCCTTTCGAGGAGGTAAAATGAGGACCTGGATTGTGGGGGCAATAAGCTGACTTTGTATAAAAAAGAACACCGCTTAGGAGGCCCCAAAAGCCCTACTAAGCAGGTATATACAAAAGTATGAAGGCTATTGCTTAACGCATTGTAAGCCGCCCTGAGTCTCTGGAGAAGGGCGGCATATAAATCGAACCAATAAATAAATCAATAAATCAATAAGCACGTACAGCAACCCTGATACTTATAGATGTCATGCGCAAATTTTAAAAAAAGAGAATTTAAAAGGCAGATAAAATGTACAGGTTTAGATATCAGAGAAAATTCAGTGTAAAAATGCAATCAACTCACTCGAACCAGAAGAAATCAGGGTCTTTCTTCCGTGGCACCCCCGTTGTCTGAATCTTCCTCTGCAATCTGATTATTTTATTTCCCTGATGCATTGATATCCTTCTTTTTCATCCAGGAATTCAATGCTTATCAGTCCTCTTTCTTTTAATTCCTATGCTTCCCCTCTGCAATGAACAAAATGCATTCCTCCTCAGCTGCCCCGCATCAAAGAGCATCCCTCCAGACACGTATTTGGCCACTTGTCAGAATCTGCCCCTTAAATCCATTCCTGGCACAGAATGCAGACAAATTCATGCAGAGGCTTCCGCCCGCCACGCCCATAAGAGGGCACGGCTTCGCTGCGTCTTACGTCACGCTTCCAGCGCGAGGGAGGGGGCGGAGCGCGAAGGCGCGGAAGGAAAGACTCTCGATGCTTCAGAGGTCGGCGTGGGCGGGGCCTCCCGCTTCTTGCGGAGGTTCCTCCGCGCGTGCGCGGTCCGGCCACGGCGCAGCCGCAGTGCGACCCGGCCGCGGAGACTTAGGAGAGGCGGCGGAGCTGAGGCGGGAGCCGGTTTTTTTTTTCTTCGCCGGGAGGCTTCGGGCCGGAGCCGCCATGTGGCCGTGGTGACCGAGCGGCGGGACCGGCGAGGGCGGGAGGAGGAGCGCCATGAACCTGAGGGGCCTGTTTCAAGATTTCAACCCAGGTGAGGGGAGGCCGGAAATGGGCGGGGCCTGGCGGAAGGGGCGGGGCCGGGCCGGCGAGGGGGGGGCAATCGGGGGTGGGGGATGGGTGGAAAGGCGACCTTGCAGTGCAGGGCTGTATTTGGGTCGGGGGGGGGAGAAATCCATCCCATTGGGGTAGATCTGGATTATAAAAACCCATAAGGCACAGCCAGTATTTGGGGCTGGGGGGGAGATCCATCCCATTGGGGTAGATATGGATTATAAGACCCATAAGGCACAGCCAGCATTTGGGGCTGGGGGGGAGAAATCCATCCCATTGGGGTAGATATGGATTATAAAACCCATAAGGCACAGCCAGTATTTGGGGCTGGGGGGGAGAAATCCATCCCATTGGGGTAGATCTCGATTATAAGACCCATAAGGCACAGCCAGTATTTGGGGCTGTAGGGGGAGAAATCCATCCCGATATGGATTATAAGACCCATAAGGCACAGCCAGTATTTGGGGCTGGGGGGGAGAAATCCATCCCATTGGGGTAGATATGGATTATAAGACCCATAAGGCACTGCCAGTATTTGGGGTTGGGGGGAGAAATCCATCCCATTGGGGTAGATCTGGATTATAAAACCCATAAGGCACAGCCAGTATTTGGGGCTGGGGGGGAGAAATCCATCCCATTGGGGTAGATCTCAATTATAAGACCCATAAGGCACAGCCAGTATTTGGGGCTGGGGGAGAGAAATCCATCCCATTGGGGTAGATATGGATTATAAGACTCATAAGGCACAGCCAGTATTTGGGGCTGGGGGGGAGAAATCCATCCCATTGGGGTAGATCTGGATTATAAAACCCATTAACCACAGCCAGTATTTAGGGCTGGGGGGGGGGGAAACAGATCCATCCCTTTGGGGTAGATCTGGATTATAATACCCATAAAAGCACAGCAAGTATTTAGGACTGGAGTAGAAAGATCCACCCCTGTGGAGTAGATCTGGATTATAATCCCCATAAGGCACAGCCAGTAGTTTTTTTTCCTTACCTATTGGAATATAGAGTACGCCGATCGCACCAAGAAAATCATCTAAAAATAACACACTGCGTTTAAAAATTTATTTTAAAGCACGATTCTGGTGTCAGAATAGTAACACGAATTTTGGTCATGCTTGTAGAATACTCAATCTCAAACACTGAGTAGAGCGTAGATTGATTTTTTTACAGAGTAAAACTGTAGTTTCAACAAGTAATTGTGGAGCTTCACACCAAGTCCTTAGGATAGAAAAAAAACAATATAAATAAAACAATTAAACAGGAAGGAGCTTTCAGAATTGGTGGTTTCCCCCTTTTTTTAGTTTCTCGCACGGAATAGCATTTCCGCTTATGCCTCCCGAAGAAAGAAAAAACCTTCCTGTGCTTTTCTCATACAAGGAATATTGTAAAAATCTCTGCTTCTTTTTCTCTTTACATCCTTCACAACTTCCATCCTTCTTCATTTTCTCTCGTTAAGAGTCATTCCTGGCTTCAGCAGCTTTCTGAAGAAAAAAAAGAACAGGCTTTTGACACAGCGGCTCAGTCGCGGAATACAAATTGAGCCTTCGCAGTTGACTTGGCCTGATTAAATGGGGAAAGTTTCCCGGTTGTGTCACTGCCATAGGTCTGTGGGAACCGAACAAGGCAGAGGGGAGTCCGTCAATGCAAATTATTGCTTTTCATCGGGAAGATTTTCTCTTTTTTAAATTTAATTTCATTGAAACCCTAATTTTACTTTAACCCTATGACTGTCACTAAGTGTTGTATCTTATGATTTATGATGAATGTATTTTTATGATGACTCTGATCATGATTTATCACTTACAGCTTTTATGTACAATGAGAGCATATGCACCGAAGACAAATTCCTCGTGTGTCCAATCACACTTGGCTAATAAAGAATTCTATTCTATTCTATTTCTATTCTATACCTATTCTATTCTACTCTATTCTAAATTCCCTATTCTATTCATTTCTTATTCTATTCTATTCCCTATTCTATTCTTTCTTATTCTATTCTATTCCCTATTCTGTTCTGTTCTATTCATTTTTTATTCTATTCCTATTCTATTTTATTCTATTCTATTCATTTCTTATTCTATTCTAAATTCCTATTCTATTCATTTCTTATTCTATTCTATTCCCTATTCTGTTCTATTCATTTTTTATTCTTTTCCCTATTCTATTCTATTCTATTCATTTCTTATTCTATTCTATTCCCTATTCTATTCATTTCTTATTTTATTCTATTCCCTATTCTGTTCTGTTCTGTTCTATTCATTTTTTATTCTGTTCCCTATTCTATTCATTTCTTATTCTATTCTATTCATTTCTTATTCTAGTCCCTATTCTATTCATTTCATTTCTTATTCTATTCTTATTTTTATTATACGATGGCACAGAAGGACAGAGAGGCAGTTTAGCAATTCTTGCTCCGAGACACGTTCCATTAACCGGCGTCTCTCATTTGGCCTTGCCCAAACACTTCCTTCCACTCTCCAGCAGTGTTGTTTCAGCCGATGACACATCTGGCCCTTCCCAAAAATTACCAGCCTGCCTTACTGCCCTCGAAGAACATCTCCAGGTTTACTCCTTGTCCTCCAGACATTAAACCATCCAGAAACCTCCCATTCTTGGCTTGTACAAAAAGAACAACAAATACATAATTGCAAGAGAGGTGGCAATCACCCGAAAAAATCCCTTCCCTTAAAATTAATAAGGAGCCTAAGCGGCAGAGCAAAGCATTGCAAGAATCCATCACCCGAGCTGCAAATATTTTCTATCACTTCGCTGTCGCGTTGTCGCCTTTGCACAACCTTCTTGTTCTTCGCACATCTGTAATTGCCGCCGAATCGGAGCTGTCTGCCTGGGCTTTCTAACTCGTAATCTTCCCTTCCTTTGTGTTGACTGAATAATGACAGTTTGAAGACAGCTGCTGTGGTGTGAGTCAGCTTGCTGGTGGGAGGCATTGGAAGGAAGCCTGTTGAGTTCTCTGCTAATGAAATTGTCTTTATTTATTTTTCCGAATGGAGAGGTGGCATTAAAAGGAGATTTATCGGTACCTGCCCTCCGATTTAACCATCATTTTTTGCCATCTTTGACTTGCGACCCCGTGGTCATACAGTCAAAATTCAGCCGCTTGGCAACTGATTCATACTTACGACCGTTGCTGTGTCCCTGGATCACCTGATCCCTTTTTTTACGACCTCCTGGCAAGTAAAGTCAGTGGGGAATCCAAATTCACTGAACAACAGTATTACTAACTTAACAGCTGCGGTGATTCGCTTTAACAACTTCTGGCAAAGAAAGATTTTACCCCTGGGATCTTGGTAGGATCCCACAGAGTCCCTTTGCGGAGGCGAGGGCTACATTTTGGTGTCCCGTGAAATCATTGCAGCCTTCGATTAATGACCGCAGTCGTAACATAGAAAACGAATCGTGGATGGACCCAATAGCCAGGTTCACACAATGTTTTAAGACAATGCTTGGATTTCTGTTACAGACTGAATAACCAACCTGTGCAACCCCAGTTCCATTTATTTATTTATTTATTAAATTTTTATACCGCCCCCTCTCCCGAAGGACCATTTAGGCTGTGGTGCCTAATGTGAATCTAGTCTTATTTATTTATGCTGTCTGGGGAATTCTGGGAGTTAAAGTCCAGTTATATATGAGAAACTATGGTCTAAAAACAACATACCTTCGGTCTCGCTTCAACGGGAAATGAAGATTATGATTTAAAAGTGTGCTGGAAGCTGCCAAAAGAGATTTAAAATCAGAAATTTTAGGGTTCTATTAGGAACTCCTGTTGTCTCTTTTAGTTCACCTCTTCTTAATGACTCACTATTTTCGAAACACAAGCTGCACACAATGATTTTGAAGATGATGTCATAAATTGATCTTCTCTTTCCTTTTTTTTTTTTCCCCCATAGCAAATTTCTTATTTATGCCTGTCTGCTGCTCTTCTCAATTCTGCTGTCTCTCCGGCTGGATGACAAGATCGAATGGAGCTACTGGGCCGTGTTTGCTCCAATATGGCTGTGGAAGTTAATGGTTATAGTGGGTGCCTCCGTGGGGACTGGAGTATGGGCCCGGAACCCACAATATCGGTAAGAGGGACACGTACCTGCTTTGCAAATGTATTTCACGAGTCCCTTTTTTTTTTGCAAATCGTCTTTTGAAGATTCAGGTACTGTGTTTCTCCTGGGCTATTCCAGGTCTGGGCTATTCCCAGGCCATTCCAGCAGTGGAATAGGATTATCTTGAAAAAAAACCCCAAAAAGTGGTGTTATTAGCCATCAAGCCTCAAAAATACACTTTTCCCAAAAGGTTTCCACAATTTTGGCCACTACTATAGACATAAGAGTTGCATTGTTGTTTATCATTGTTTGAGAAGCCAAATTGTTTCTTTTTGCCTGCTTAGCATCTTCACCTTGGAAATGGGTTAATTTTCCAAGGATGAAGCTCATCCCAATGTCGGGAAACATTTGGGTTGAACTTGTAGTAGGGGTGAACTAACAGAACTGATTTTTTTTTACTCTTTAGAGCAGAAGGAGAAACGTGTGTGGAGTTCAAAGCCATGTTAATTGCCGTCGGCATCCACCTCCTCCTGCTGATGTTTGAAGTTCTGGTTTGTGACGGAATCGAGCGAGGGACCCGTTTCTGGCTGCTGGTTTTCATGCCCCTCTTCTTCGTGTCTCCGGTGTCGGTGGCTGCTTGTGTGTGGGGCTTCCGGCATGACCGATCTCTGGAGGTAAGGAGGTCCACGTTAGAAAAATTGAAGAGTGGGTCGTCATTCAAAGCTAGTCCCGAATTTTAGTGAAGTTTTGAAAGGTTCTGTGCTCTGTGTGCCTTTGGGACAGTGTGATATCTTTAGAAGTATCAGCCTACAGGTGGGGTGGAATGTAGTCTGGATTCCCAGGAAGGAGAGGCTGTTTCCCAGAGGATAGAGAGACAGTGCAGCTTGGAAAATTTGGCCAGCGGGAAGGAGGGTTAAAACGTCTCCTCCCTATCTCATCTTGGAGTATATCAGTAGTTATGCAAATAGTTACTTTAGTCTGGCAAGAGCCTATCTCTAGGTCAGGTGTCAGTAACCCGTGGCTCCGGAGCCGCATGTGACTCTTTGGTCTTCCTGCTGTGGCTCCCTGTCGGCTGAACCCACCACTGGCTGGCCCCGCCCCTCACCCTCCCTTACCAGTCACTGCTCACCTGGCCTGAGAAGGTAAGGGTGACGGCATGGGATGAAGACTCGCTCCATATTTCAGAGCAGGCATGAAGTGTCCCTGTACTCGCTGACTATATATAGTCAGACGCCACTGACTCTTTTTTATGATTTTCAGATAGACAGACAGACAGACAGATAGATTAGATAGATAGATAGATAGATAGATAGATAGATAGATGATAGATAGATAGATAGATAGATAGATAGATAGATAGATAGATAGATAGATGATAGATAGATTAGATCAGGGATCTGCAACCTTAAACCCTCAAAGAGCCATTTGGACCCATTTCCCACAGAAAAGAAAACACCGGGAGCCACAAAACCCTTCCCGTGCCTGACTATTTCTTGAGCGGCCACAAAACTAGCAAATGTAGTTGAATTAAACTTTCTGTTTTCTTCTGAACTTTTCTTTTCTCGGATTTATCCATGGTTGGCCTACCATCGTTGCTGGTTTTGACTCTTAACACGTTTGCTTTCCTTCTCTCCTAGCTGGAAATCCTGTGTTCTGTCAATATACTCCAGTTCATATTTATTGCCCTCCGATTGGACGAAATCATCAAGTGGCCGTGGCTTGTACGTAAAGATTATACCTCGTTCTCTTTTCAGCAGAGTGGATAAAAATCGATGATTTGTATTAAAAAATCGGGTTTTTTTAAATTTAAATTGGGTTTAAAAAAAAAAAAAAAGCCCAGAAACTAGTGATTTGTGATTTCACTGAACTAGGGCTGCATAATATCTTGGTTAACGTAGGTAGAACCTGGCTAAAGAGAAATACACATAAAACCTACGAAAAAGAAAGAAAAACACATATATATAAATATATTTCTCTTTAGCCAGGTTCTTCCTACGTAAACCAAGATTTTTATGCAGCCCTAGTTCAGTGAAATCACAATCCACTAGTTTCTAGGCTTTTTTTCTGGCAGCCAGCAAACACTCTGCTGCCCATTGGGAGACTAAGGAGACTAAGATAGAGTCTCCTAATGGGCAGCAGAGTGTTTGCTGGCTGCCAGAAAAAAAAAGCCTAGAAACAGCCTTTTTTACTAGTGATTTAAATCATGATTTAAATCAAATCCACCCTGCTTTTCAGAATGTCGGGGTTGTTAGGTCAGTAGAGGCTGGCACGCCAAAATAAGGCATATATAGATTTTGACACTATGACATAGTTGCAGAGGGAATCCTTTGGAGTGGGGAACTTACTGACTTTAAATCGGCATCGTCACCCCAACAAGTTAAGCCAGGGAAGATCTAATGAGTACTTGAAGGATATTCCTCTAGGAAATCCCAGCCTGTAGGTGGGACTGGAAATACAATGGTAGGAAGGAAACATTTTGTGGAATTATGTTAAAAAAAATAATAATCCTTGCCTGCTACCCAAGATAAACATTTCAATAGAAAAGACTTTTTGTAGCTCAAGGTTGAACTGTGGGGGGTTTTTTTGGTGCTCTCTGAGCTTGGTTGTTCATCACTGTTAGAAGGAAGTAGGATTTGCAGAGTCGAGGAGAACAATGGCTGTGGGGTCCTTGATGCTCTCTGAGCTTGGTGGTTACCTTGCAAGACGTTTCGTGACCCAACTACGTAATGTCATCAGTGCTAGAAAACCCCACATAAATATTTCAAAACATATTCATAGTCATTGGTAGAGCCTAGATTTTCAAACGTTGGATGCGTAGAATGGAAATGAGTGGTCCTTTTGAGAGAGACAAGTGATTCTCTCTCTTCTCCTCCTCACCACCCCACCCCACCCCACCCCTGTTTTAATTTCTAGGTTGTTTGTGTCCCTCTATGGATCCTGATGTCCTTTCTCTGTTTGGTTGTGCTGTATTATATCGTCTGGTCAGTCTTTTCTTACGCTCGATGGACGTGATTGCCGAACAGAGAAGAACGCATATTACGATGGCCGTCAGTTGGATGACCATCGTGGTTCCGTTGCTCACCTTTGAAGTAGGTTGAACCGTGTGTGTGTGTGTGTGTGTGTGTGTGTGTGTGTTCTGAGGTTTTCGCGGGTGTTTGTATGTAGGTCTTTGGTTATTCGGGTTTTCTCCCGCGTAAAATTGGAAGTGTCTTGGTGACATTTCGACATCGAAACGTTGCCAAGACACTTCCAATTTTACGCGGAAGAAAACCCGAATAACCAAAGACCTACATATATATATATATATATATACCCAACGTCCCATTTTCTCTCCGGTCTGGAGAAAAACTCGCCCACAAATCTGTAACAGCCTTTGGCTGAAAATACTCCAGTCCAAGCGTTATTAGCAGAAAACTTCCAAATATAAATCCTGGCAAGATAAAAGTAATTAATCCGGCAGGGCAAGCAAGATAAGGAGTTCCAGAAATGAAGTAGCACGGCAGTAAATCAAGACAGTTGGGAGGATGCCAGGAACTCAGATAAAGCAGTTAACACAACTAGCTCGACAACCGCCCCCTCCCATTTGCCTCTCCTTTAAACTCCATCCCCAGGTGTGCCTTATGAAGGGAATTGGGGTCTTTCCTCCCTCATAAGCCATGCAACCCACATTGCTCTCTTCTCCATTCTTCCCTGAGCTGCTAGGATGAGGAGGGGTGGGCCTTGGTCTCCATCTGAACCCCCTCTCCCTTGCTCTACCTCTCCCCTGCTCTGCCCAGCCTGACTTTGCCCTTCCCCAGCTTCCTCCACAGCAACAGAACCACTCTCCCGGGGCCATGACAGCTTCTGTTCCCTCCAGATTACTGAAGCTGTCCGTTTTGTCTCTTTAGATCCTGCTGGTGCACAGGCTGGATGGGCATAACTCCTTCTCCTACATCCCCGTGTTCGTTCCGCTGTGGCTTTCGCTGATAACTTTGATGGCAACCACCTTTGGCCAGAAAGGGGGCAACCATTGTAAGTATGCAACGGCAGAACTACCGGTCTCCTTCCGCCAACAGTGATTCAAGTGCAGAGAAAGGGGAAGAATAGAGGAGAATATTTGTAGCTCGGGGTTGAACTGTGGGGTCCTTGTGGATTTCTCGTAGATGTTTTAGGACCCAACTAGGTAGCTCCATCAGTACTAGAAGAGAGAGAGGTGTTTAGAGAAGAGGGGAGACTGCTGTAGGGTCTTTGGTGCTCTTTGTGCTTGGTTTTCTTGCAGACATTTCATGACCCACCAAGGTAACATCATCAGTGCTAGTAGGAAGTGGGGTTTGCAGAGAGGAGGAGGACTGTAGGGCCCTTAGTGCTCTCTGAGCTTGGTGGGCTTTTTTCAGATGTTTCATTACCCACCTAGGTAGCATCATCAGTGCTAAAAGAAAGTGGCATTTGCAGAGAGGAGGAAGAGGAGGACAACTGTGGGGTCCTTGGTGCTCTCTGAGCTTGGTTGCTTTCTTGCTGATGTTTCATGACCCACCTAGTCTAAGTAACATCATCAGTGCTAGTAAGGAGTAGGGTTTGCTCTGAGTTTATATTCTACTGCAGTGATGGCTTAACCCTTTTGCCGTCGCGTGCCAAAAGCGGGGGAAGCGCGAAGGGGTCATGCGTGCGTGTGCCCACACCCATAATTCAATACCCCCCACGCCCGCCCCCAAGGGATGTGCGTGTGACACACACACACACACACGCTCCCCACGCTTTTGGCATGTGACAGCAAAAAAGTTACCGGTAGGCCTGTTTTTTGCCCTCCCCAGGCTCCAGAGGCTTTCTTGGAGCCTGGGGAGGGCAAAAACAGCCTTCCCCATCCCTCCGGAGACTGGAAACAGCCCGTTTCTTGACTTCCGGTGAGCCCAGAAGGCCCGAAAATCAGCTTGCTGGCACATGCATCCGTGCTGGAGCTGAGCTGGGCAACGCTTGCCCACAGATATGTTCTGCGTGCCACCTGTGGCACGTGTGCCATAGGTGCGGCATCACAGTTCTAGTGCCTTGTCCATAAACAGCCCAACCAAAGAACCTCCAGGACCAGCCGTACCAACACTAACAGGGCAAGCCACTAGAATATAAACTTGAGAGCAAAACCCCACCCCTTACTAGCGCTGATGATGTTACCTCGTTGGGCCATGAAATGTCTGCAAGGAAACCAAGCTCAGAGAGCACCAAGGACCCTTTCCAAAGAGGGAGAAGAGGCAGGACTCCCCAAGTTGGACGGGCGAGTGACTTATGCCAACGACTTCCTTCCGCGCAGGGTGGTTCGGCATTCGCAAAGACTTCTGCCAGTTCCTGCTCGAGATCTTCCCGTTCCTGAGAGAGTACGGCAACATCTCCTACGACCTGCATCACGAAGATAACGAGGAAACGGAAGAAACGCCGGTTCCGGAAGCGCCCAAAATCGCTCCATGTTTCGCAAGAAAGCCGGGGTGGTCATTACACAGAGCCCCGGAAAGTACGTCATCCCGCCGCCCAAACTGAATATCGACATGCCGGATTATTAAAAAATGGATTTTGTTTTTTGCAAAGGACGAATGTCTCCCCGTGATATCACCACCGGGTATCCTCATCCGACCCTTCTTATTATTATTATTATTTTAATTCATGCCTTCGTTTTAGTGTGTGGATGGCTAGGGATTGGGGCCCCTGTGGATTTGCATTTATGACGTTCCCTTAACATTTGTCCATCTTGGGGTGTCAAAATATCACCCCAGTAAAAAGCAGGAAGAGTTCAGTAACTCTGTCCGGGTTCAGCAGCGGGAACGGTTAAGTCTCTGTTCACAGAACGGCAAGCCTTAGATTTGAGTTCGGTTCTCAGCATCAAAGTCATAGTTTGCCACTGCTAATACAGCTTCACAGTCCCTAACCCCTCCCTCCCCCCCTCCCGATTTTCCCGTCCACGGTCCCCCCTGGACAAAGGCCCACGAAGGGCTTTGCGCTCACACTATCCTACGGTGGATGGGTGTTGTGTTTTGGAGAAACCAAAAAAAGGAGGTTTCTGACGTACGAACCTTCCTCCTTGGTGGAAGTCCTGTTTTCCTGTACATAGTATTTATATGAACTTTTGGCAATGTAATATATTGGGAGGGGGGGGAAAAAAGACACGAGTCTGTACATTATAAATATGTATGTTAAAGGATTTTTTAAAAGGATGTATGAAATGCGTAATCTCTGGTGCGCCCCCCCCCCCTCGCGTGTTCCTCTCGGCTTCTATTTCGGTTCGAAGTACCTTAGCCGAAGCTGTTTGCACATTTCGAATTGTTGTCCCCGTTTCCCCCCCCCCTCGAACCCTGAACCTTGCTACTTATTCAGTCTTTCGCCTAGGACTGTTGACACTTCTCATTCTGGATTAAATTGGCTTGGAAGAGGTATGTAAATGTTCTCCTGTAAATAGCCTCAAATCTTTGTACCATCTGCGGCGGAGAGGCTGCCAGCTCTTCAGAAAATTCCCACTTTTGTTAACGCTACACATTTGGGCAAAGATTGGTTTCTCACAGACTTGCTTTTTGGCCTGTTCAATAAAGCATCCCCAAGTTGTTGGGTTTTTTTGGGTTTTGTTTTGTTTTTGTTTTTGAGTGCTGTGGTTTTGTGTCAAGCTTAACCCACCTGGCAGGGTTTTGGCAAGCCTGTTTTCTTGCAAACGGTGAAAAAATGTCAGCCTGGAATGGGTTTGCAAGCGTGAGCAAACTCTTAACCACCTCAAATACCCCGGGGGTGGAAGGGTCAGATAAGATCGATTGAAGGAGGACTTTACTGGCGTGAGAGTTTGGTAGAACTTTTTCTCAGGATCAGCAACACGAACGTAACTTGGGGAGAACGAGAAAGGACATTTAACTATTCTGAATTAACGAATTAACAGAGTTGGAGGGAACCTTGTGGGTCATCTAATCCAACCCCTCACTCAAGCAGGAGACCCTAACACCATTTCAGACAGAGGGCAGTCCAGTCTCTTCTTGAAAGGCTCCAGGGATGAAGCTCCCACAACTCTCCGAAGGCAACTTCTGTTCCATGGGTTGATCGTTCTCACGGTCAGAAAATTCCTCCTTATTTCTTGGTTGAATCTCTCCTTGATCAGTGGTTCCTTGTCTGGCCTTAGGGTGCTTTGGAAAAGCTGCTCGGAAAATGTGTCCCGTCACAGCGCAGGAGAATACACGAAATAGGACAGAAAGAGAAGTCGTGATGAGCATTGAATGAGTCAATGAGAAAAGACACCAATATCCTTAAAGGAAAAAAGACACTTAATTTTGATGCAGTGTCCTTTGGGGGGGAACCCTTACTTTCTAGATCGGGGATGTCCAACCTTTAGCGATTTAAGACTTGTGGACTTCAACGCCAGCCAGCTATTCTTAAAATTGCATTCTGGGAGTTGAAATCCACAAGTCTTAAAAGTTGCCACAGTTGGACACCCCGGCGTACCAGGTGGAAAATTGTCCTTTAGCATTGAAAAGTATGTTTTTAGATCTCCCCCCAAATCTTATTTCTTTATAAACTGGCACCTTCTTAGCACATGCTAAGTAAAGTTGGCTTGGAGGCGAGATGCAGAATTCTCTTCTCTTCTAGATTTCCTTTTCAGGATCCACCGTCCGTAGAAGAATCCCCGGTGTGAGATCTTGCCGCGTCTCCACTCTCGTACAACTTATTTGGTGCTGGTTGGTTGTTGTGTTTTTTTTAATGGCTACTTTGAGGCATTAGCTCAGTAATCCTCCACCTCTCTTTCTTCCTCTCAGCCCCCAGATCCTCTCTTCTCATTCAGCTGCAAATAAGTCACTCTCTCTTCCTGTCATTATGATCTCGTTTGCTAGGAAACCAGCGTTCATTGTGTGATGTCACACCCCGTCCCCAGATAAAAGCATTGTGGTGTTCTAGAACTCTTTCCTGAAGCTCCTGCTGGCTAGCCTCTCTCTCTTTTTTTAATAGACCTGCCGGCACTTTTTTCTCCGGCATGGTTCGACAAACAGCTTAATAATGGCAACCGCTGAAAGTTACCTGGGCGATCACAGGGAATTGGACGCCGCTCTTCCCACCGTGCAGACTCAGCCAGTTTCAGACGAAGATGAGGCGGTGCCTCCTGCGATTCCCCTCCCTTCTGCCCCCATGCACGACAAAACCGCCGCCGGCGATTTTGCCCTGCGGTCGATGATCGAAGAGAACGCCTTCCAAGCTTTGAGCGACGGGCCCTGGGCGAAGCGTCCCCGGCTGTCGCTCTGCGAGGAAGCCGGTTTGGAAGACAACGATTTCCTCTCGCTCACTTTCCCGAAGAAGCTGTGGAAGATCGTGGAGAGCGATCAGTTTAAGTCTCTCTGGTGGGACGACGAGGGCAGCTGCGTGGTGATCGACGAAGAGCTGTTCAAGAAGGAGGTGCTGGAGCGCAAAGGGCCCATGCGCATCTTCGAGACGGACTGCATGAAAAGCTTCATCCGCCAGCTGAACCTCTACGGCTTTAGCAAGATGAGGCAGAACTTCCAACGGTCGGCCTCCCTGGTCGAGTTTTTAGCGGAAGAAAAGGCCGCTTACGCGTTCAGCAAGGTAAGGCCATTTGCCAAACCAGTAATGGTTATTCCAACTCTTGTGTCCACCAGGATGGGCTCACGTCGTTTGCCAAACCAGTAATGTTGGCTCCACCTTCTGTATCCACCACGCTGGGCTCATGCCGTCATTTGCTAAACCAGCAATGGTGATTCCACTGTGTCCACCACCCGGTGTTCACGTCCTCTTTTGCTAAACCAGTAACAATGGCTCCACCTTCTGCATCCATCACGCTGGGTTCACGCTGTTCTTTGCCAAACCAGTAATGGGGGTTCCACCTCTTGTATCCACCACGTTAGGCTCCACACCATCATTTGCCAAACCAGTAATGCTGGTTCCACTTCTTGTATCCACCACGCTGGGCCCACACCATCACCTTCCTTCTTCCCACGGGTACAGAATGCCAACGGTTCCTGGCAAAAGGAATGGTCGTCATTACGAGTGGACATGACTCAAAAACGTCCAGTATATGCATGAAATTAATGGACAAAGGAACGTGATGTTTCCCGGTCCTCTCCTAAGACCTATGCCCGTAAATGGAAGATTTATTTCATCGAAGATGGGCAAGGTGCTAACTAAATGCAGGATAGGTTTGTCACAATCTACTAGATGTGTCTTGATTGTGGCTAAATTCACACAAGGTAGGTCAGTAGATTGTGTGAACCCAGACGTATACAGCTTTTTTCTAAAGGTAAGCATCCTATTACTCCAGCCCTGTAAATCATTACCATTAAACCACTATAAAGATGGTTTATTTCAGTAAAGCAGGAACCCATTCTGCTAAGACAACGGTTGGGTGCTGGTTTTGCTCAAGTTGGTTGGACAAATGTACTTCAGGCACACTCGTGTTGCAATTACAGCTTGTAGAGCGAACATTTAGAAAAACGTTCCTGTTTTTATATTGCACTGCGATGATAGTGTTATCATCCATCTTCAGTGTTCAATATCCTGGTGCATAATTATTATTATTATTGATACAGGACATTGGACGAAGGCAATATCAGGGCATGTGCCTCCTTGTCTTGTTCTGGATATTTTATTTTTGAAGTGGCTTATGTCGGCTAAGTGCATAATTTTTCATCTAGCAGATAATTCAGTGGCTTTTAGCTGCTCCCAGAAAATCCTCCTCCATTCTGTAAGGAGCACTTGCCTTATCTTTCAATATTAAAAGCTGCTCTCCTAACATTTGGGCAATACCACTAACTTTAAAAAGTTACGGTAAAGGTTCCCCTCGCACATATGTGCTAGTCGTTCCCGACTCTAGGGGGCGGTGCTCATCTCCGTTTCAAAGCCGAAGAGCCAGCGCTGCCCGAAGACGTCTCCGTGGTCATGTGGCCGGCATGACTCAACGCCAAAGGCGCACGGAACGCTGTTTCCTTCCCACCAAAGGTGGTCCCTATTTTTCTACTTGCATTTTTTACATGCTTTTGAACTGCTAGGTTGGCAGAAGCTGGGACAAGTCACGGGAGCTCACCCCGTTACGCGGCGTTAGGGATTCGAACCGCTGAACTGCCGACCTATCGCTTGACAAGCTCAGCATCTGAGCCACTGAGCCACTGCCTCCCACTAACTTTAGGCTCATGTTATTCTGTAGGCTAAAATACCCTTCTGTATTCATGAAAAGGACTGTAATTCGAGCATTATAAATCAGGAAAGTTACACGTAAACCACTTGGCTCCTTCTGGAACCCGGATGGCAAAACCGTGGCCATGGTGGGCGTAGCATACTCGGCTTCCTGCACCATGGTGAGGGGGGACGTTTTCGCCCTTCCCATGCTCCAGAGGTTTTCTTCGAGCCTCCGGGAAGGCAAAAGCGGCCTCCTTTGGGCTCCAGAGACCCTCCGGAGTGCGGAAATAGCCCCATTTCCGGACTTTCGGAACTTCCGGGAGGCCTGTTTTTCGCCCTCCCAGGGCCTCTGTGTGGGCGCTGCACTTAACTGGCATCCAAAACAGGCTGCTTGGAGACGCCTGGGAGGGGAGGGGTGGGGTGGGTGGCACCAGCCAGTCCTTGCAACTACTGGTTCGGTGGACCAGATGTAAAACTAGCATCCGGTTCACACAAACCGGTCTGAACCAACTGAATTCCACCTCTGGTCACATGGTCCAATCAGCTCACCGTCCCAAGTCCATCTTCCGTCCACGCCTCCCCAGCACCTGGCAAGGACGTCCTTGCTCCCCAGAGGGAAAGAACGTTCTTATGGTTGCCATACCCTCGTTAACAATGCCTCCCTCTTCCCGTTCCCACAGCTTGCCCTGCCACCGCTGTAGCAGCCCTGAAGATGCCAAGAGAAGATGGCTCCGGGGCTGACAGAAACTTTTAGTTGTCTCGGCTTTTGATTCCTCCTCAGAAGATTAACCAACTCCTGTTTTTTTTTCCCCCCCCTCACGTCTCTAGCTCCAGTTCTATCATAACCCCAATTTTAAGAGAGGATGCCCTCACCTTCTCGCGAGGTGCAAGCGAAGAGTCGGAATCAAAAACATGCCACCCGTTGCTTTCTCGCTAGAGGAAGATTTCAGCGAAATCTGTTTGAAGAGCAGATCCGGAAGCCCAGAAGGTCCACCTTCTCTGGGATCTTCTTCCAGGGAAAATAGTTTCCTGACCACTTCTCCCAAAGATAAAATGCACAAACTCGGTCTCCGGAAGCCACCCGGAGTGACCAAAGGCCTTGCTGGAACAGTAGGCCGTCTCAAAAGCGGTTTCGCCTCTTCTCCAACCCCTTTGAGGTCTTCAGATCAGGGGCCTCCTGAGGACACTGAGAACAAGATCAACCAGCTGGCGCCTTTCCACTTGCCCCAGCACCCCAGCCATGCTCGAGTCAACACCCACGAGATCGATTCCACCACCACCACTTCAGCTACCTCGTTGTACCACGTCATACCTCCCGTCCCCAACAGCCCCTTTGCGCCAATGATGGGGCTGCCCGCCTTCCCAACCATGTATCCAGACTTATCCGCCATGCAAGCTCATTGGGCCAGCATCCTTCCCTTCTGCAACCCGTGGTTCTCCATGCCGATGATAGCGGCCGCTTCGGCGATTTCTATGTCCAGGTCTTCCCATCATCACCGAACTCCTTCCTACCACCACTGTCCCAACTGCAACTGTACGTCCAACCCTCCGTCCGCTTCGAAAGGAGCGGGACCGAAAACGGCAGATTATGCCGGGTACCATCGATAAAAAAAGGACAGGAGACATTTCTGGAGACATTTTGCATCTACTTAAAAATAAGGGAATCTTAACCACGGCATGGGCTGAAGAATAAACTTTTGTTCTTCCTGTCTGGTTTACCTAGGTGGACTTCTTTGTATTTCTTTCATCACGGATAACGCAGGAGGGATGTTTCGTTTCAATGTATATAGATTGAGGAGAAATATCTAGGGAAGGAATGGCATTGATTTGGATTAATAGCTTCCCACTTCTGTTGTTGCCACGGGTTTTGTTTTGTTTTGTTTTAAAAAAAAGCTGCAGTCTAAACAAAAGTAATTTTTTTGGGGTGGAAACTAATCAAGGAGAGAAGCAACTTAGAACTAAGGAGAAATTTCCTGATAGTTAGAACAATGAATCAGTGGAACAACTTGCCTCCAGAAGTTGTGAAGGCTCCAACGTTGGAAGTTTTTAAGAAGATGTTGGCTAACCATTTGTCTGAAGTGGTGTAGGGTTTCCTTTCTAAGCAGGGGGTTGGACTAGAAGACCTCCAAGGTCCCTTCCAACTCTGTTATTCTATTCTATTCTATTCTATTGTATTCTACTCTACTCTACTCTACTCTACTCTACTCTACTCTACTCTACTCTACTCCATTCCATTCCACCCTCTATTTCTATTCTATTCTATTCTATTCTATTCTATTCTATTCTATTCATTTCTATTCTTTCTATTCATTTCTATTCAGAGTTCTTGGTCTGTGCAGGCAGCATTTTCAAGCGGAGCCGATTGTGGTTTAGGTACATTTGATGTAAAATAGCTCCCAGCCACCTAAGGGTTTTAAAAATCTGCAGATGAGATCATTTTAAGAATTTGACCGGTTATAAAATGTAGAGAATTGGCAGTGGCATCAGAACTTGGAAAGGAAAGAAGTCTGAAGGATGCTTGCAAAGGTTGATTCTGGGAACAATATGTGACATGGTGTTATGGTGGGTGAATCCCAATTACCTGTGTTTTGGCGGTGGTGTTTGTTGGGGGAATGTTGCCGTCCCGATTCTCAAGGTAAGTATCCTAGAGAATAAAGCAGTATTTCTTAATCTTGACCACTTGAAAGACGTGTGGAACTCCCAGAATTCCCTAGCCATGGCTGAGGAATTCTGGGTAATGGCTGGGGAATTCTGGATGTTGAAGTCCACATATCTTCAAATACCCAAGGCTGAGAAACACTGAAAGTTAACCACTTCCTAAGTTCTTACTATGAATCGTTTTCAGTCTCCTGAGATCTGATGGGTTGACGTAAAACAATCACCAGAACAGATATCGACCTTAAGATTATTGTTATTATTATACACCTATTATTATAATGGTGTAATCCGATGCTTAAGGGAACAGTGAGTTGTTAAATGAAACATCGGCTGAATGACGAGATTTTTACTGTGTGTCTAGATCTTGTTCGCATTTTCTAAAAAGTGGGGAGGGGGGGAAAGTTTATTGAATCTGGTGAAGTACAAGACAGTGGGAAGATAGGCAGTCAATGCACCAACGGTGGATTCATCAATACATTTTAACTTGTTGCTATTGTGACCTTCCTGTACAGAATTTATAAATTCTCAGCTTGGATCTGGGCCAGGAGTGGGCTTCAAAAATTTTAGCAAGTGGTTCTTTGCCCAGTTGCTGGATGGGCGTGGCCATGGTAATCGGCCATGGGGGGGGCTATTTTTGCCCTCCCCAGGCTCCAGAAGCTTTCCTCAAACCTCCGAGAGGGCAAAAACAGCCTTCCCGGGCTCCGGAAACCCGCTGGAGGCCAGAAACGAACTTCCAGCAAGTCTGTTTTTTGCCCTCCACGAGCCCTTACGCGTGTCCTGCATCCAAAACAGGCTGTGTGGGGACTCCTGGGAGGGGCAAGGTGGGGTGGGGTGGGCGGGGCCAGCCAGGAGTGGGATTTGGGGGTTCTCCGAACTGCACAGAATCTTAGCTAGAAGTTCTCCCGAACCCCCAGCACCGAACCCCTGATCTGGGCTTAATGAAGTTTGACGATCTGGTGAAGTCAAACAGGACAAGTTACTTCTTGGCTGAAGTAGTGACTGATTTTAATAATGCTCTTCTTGTTTCTTCTGTTCAGTTTACTAGGGTTTTTTCTTTCTTTCTTTTTCTTTTTTAATACAGCAAATTAATATTTCGAGCGTGCCAGAAGCACACTTTTAACTCTAAATGTGTTTAAATTGGCTAAAACATCTTTAAAAGATTCTTGAGTTTAGTTTGCTTTCCCTGAAACACACTTCTTTCGATATCCATGGATATTACAAAATGAAACGTACTTTTTTTTAATAAAAATGCTAGACATAAATTAATATCAAGAATTGCAGGCTGTGGAGCCCAAGAGTGTAATCCTAGCAAATATTTAGTTTGGATGGGAAGTCACCTCTGACATTAAACTATGGGGCCATTCTCCAATTAACATTGGTGGCCTTAAAGGAGACATTACGTCAACTTTACTTTCATAATTTTTCAGCTACGTATTAACAAAGCAGCAGTTCATTTTATCAGCAGTAAAAAATATTTGCTTTTACTTGACGTGGTGCTAATAATATTAAATTTGGCCAAAAAAAAAAAAAAAAAGAATCCTGTAGCAATATTGTGCTGATGATTTCAAATCTAAAATGTGAATAATGAAATGCTTCCAAGTTAGATGACCCAACCAATGTTATAAGAAATGTAGGTTAGTGGATAATGTATGCACGGAGGAAGAGAAAATACGTTTTGAAATAAAAAAATAAATAAACCGGTGCTTTTAATTAAATGAACTTCAGCTTTATGCCATCTAAAGCTTTTCTTTTTTTTTTTCAGAATTCCCTGGATACCGTATTTATTCCACGTCCAATGATAAGGAGTCACAGCCTAAATGTGCTGTTAAATTTATCTTGATCTAAATTGAGAACCATTGTTCTACTAAATCCTTCACAAGCAGGAGAGCAAGTTCTAAGGAGGGGGGGAAAAAAAGTCAAATTATCATATTTATATTTGAATTGCTTAACTTGCTGAAACTTCCTTTCTAGCTCACCGATTTGAGAGCTGCAGAGCACAGTAATTTAAGGCACTGGGGGAATATTTTAAAAAGTGTGGATTCAGACTAATTTGTTCAGACTTGAAGAATTCCCTCAGCGCTGCCAAATTCTCCCATTGCTCTCAAGTGTTTACACAGATGCTATAGAAGCGCGGATTAAAAATAGGACATGAGACCACAGAGAGAGAGAGAGACAGAGAGAGGGAGGGATGGAGAGAGAAAGAAAGATTTAAATGCCTAGCATTTTGAAGAATAGGGTTCCATTAGATTAAAAAATAGTACACAAACAGCATTAATTCCATAAGTTTTGGAATAGTACACAAACATTTTTTAAGTTTTTTTTTTTATTTGATTTATATGCCGCCCTTCTCCGGAGACTCAGGGCGGCTTACAATGCGTTAAGCAATATCCTTCATACTTTTTGTATATTTATACAAAGTCAGCTTATTGCCCCCACAAACTGGGTCCTCAATTTACCTACCTTAGAAAGGATGGAAGGCTGAGTCAACCTTGAGCCTGGCGAGATTCGAACCTGCAGTAATTGCAGGCAGCTGGTCTTAATAACAGGGTGCTTTAGACCACTGTACTACCAAGGCTACCAAACATTAATTCCATAAATTTTGGAGACTCCGTTGCTTGTCTTAATGTATGGGGGAAAAATTGACTCTTCCGTCCTAAGCTTACTTAGGACCAGTGGTGGGCAACTTGAGGTCCTACAAACGTGTCTGAAAGACTTCCCAGATGATGTAACCTGTACGAATGTGAAGAGTTGGGAGGTCAACAATTCTGGAAGACCACAAATTCCTCCTTGGGTGTGATTTGGTTTGTAGGCTTCTCTGGCAAGGGATCCATCAGAACTTCAGAATTGGATGGCAAGAACCTTTTGAGGTGGATCCATCGTAACTTCGCTCAGTGATTGGTCTTAAGTCAAGGACCATTAAATTTGGCAAAGGGAATCCTGTAGTAAGGTGTATGGAGATTATCAGTCATCCAGGTCACGATTGTCCCAAAGGTGCTTTTTCAAGAGGCAACTCGACTTTCTGTTTTTTCTTTGAAGAGGTTCCGCTTCTCATCCGAGAAGCTTCTTCTGCTTCTCTCAGAAGCTTTTTCAGCTTCTCTCAGAACTAAAGAAGCTTCTTGGGTGAGAAGCGAAACCTCTTCAAAGAAAAACCAGAAAGTCCAGTTACCTCTTGAAAAAGCACCTTTGGGACATCCTGTAGTAATATTGTGCACTAATGATTTGAAGTCTAAAATGTGAGGAACAAACGCTTCAAAGCTGATCACCTCATTTATGTTATGAGATGTGAGTTACTGTATAATGTGCGCACAAAGAGAAAAGATGTTTTAAAATAAAAAATAAATCTCTGCTTCTAATTAAATGAACTTCAGTTTTATAGTCATCTAATCATAACACCTTTGGAATAGTTCAGAATTCCATACATATAATTATAAACAACATTCATATTTTACTTAAACATAACAATACTCTTTCTTCATCTAATTTCTACCTCTTTATCTCTAACCATTGATAAAACTTTATCCACATATATATTAAATATATGCTAATATATTTAACGGGAACATAAATAAGCGAATATAGTTAAAATTATTTTGTTATATCACTATTGTTATCAGTATATGTGTTATTTTTTTTTTTTTTTTTTTGTAAAATGGTGTGCCCGGACAATACACTGTATTCAAAATAAAGGTAAAGGTAAAGGTTCCCCTCGCACATATGTGCTAGTCGTTCCTGACTCTAGGGGGCGGTGCTTATCTCCGTTTCAAAGCCGAAGAGCGAGCGCTGTCCGAAGACGTCTCCGTGGTCATGTGGTCGGCATGACTCAACGCCAAAGGTGCATGGAACGCTGTTCCCTTCCCACCAAAGGTGGTCCCTATTTTTCTACTTGCATTTTTTACCTGCTTTCGAACTGCTAGGTTGGCAGAAGCTGGGACAAGTCACGGGAGCTCACCCCGTTACGCGGCACTAGGGATTCGAACCGCTGAACTGCCGACCTTTCGACTGACAAGCTCAGCGTCTTAGCCACTGAGCCACCGCATCCTTTTTGTATTCAAAATACTTGTATATAAATAAAAAAAAACGACAGGAATAGTTCGGAATTCCCTGGAGACTGAATTTATTCCAAGTCCAATGATAAGGAATCACACAAGCAGTTCTGAATGTACAGTTAAATTTGCTGTGTTCGAAACTCTTGTTCTGTTCAATCCCATCACAAGCAGGACAGCGAGTTCGGATTCAACCGGATTCAACGGACAGGAATCAGATCTTCTGGGATGTCCACCTCCCAGATGTCCTTGTGTCCCCTTGCAGGAATGGCTCTCTGCAGCCATCTGGGATTGGAAATCACTGTCAGGTATTTTCCTTCCAGATCCCGGAGAACAGCTTTATTTTCCAACTGTAAAACATCTTCAGGTGGCAAACGGTCAGCGCACTGAAAAGTCTCTCCGATGTCGATGAGACCTGTATTTGAAAACCCAAAGCCATGATTTAATTTTTCCCCCCACAAAAAAATTATTTATTTTTCTCTTTTGACAATCATATTTTGTTTTTTTTAAATTTTAAAACCCTGCAATTTCTTGCATCGACGTGGAATCGGGGCGATGGAATGGAGATGAGAGTTTACTAGCCGGATGCCCTTCCTGACACCTACCTGGAGTTCACAGTAAATATTTTCTCTTTGCGCCCAGAGAAAAAAAATATCTGCCGCTATCTAGGATCAAACTCACTCCTGATTGTGAGGCGACTCTTTGACAAACATATAACACGTAGAAAAACGTAGCAAAGCTGTGACCAAGTTTATATATTGCGTTCCATCGTGGTTTGCTAATAAGTTCAACATGGCTAGGTCTGCACTAGCGTCTTAGGCCGGTCTGTGGTTCTGTGGGTGCAAGCGGTAATCCTTGGCCAAGGCACAAAAATAAAATAGACCAAAGCTAACCCCTAACCCTAACTCTAATCCTAACCCTCGTGGGCAGGGCTACATTCAGTATAAAAGTCACATCCAAATTTTCACCCTCTTTTAGGGGGAAAAAAGTGTGTCTTATACTCTGAAAAATAGTCAGACAAACCTTAGTTCTGGCAAGGCAGTCTTTGTTGCACAAAACACACAAGGAGCAAACTTTCCAGAAATACGAACAGTTGCCTCCTACGACAACCAAACCACTCCCTTTTCCTCCTATTTATTCCCCAGCCAGGAAAGAGGCCAGTCAGCGTCCATGTTTGTTTTGCTTCCCGAGGCGGCTTCATTGTCCTCCGTTGTTCACCTCTCCTATCTGCTCTGCGCAAACGCACATCTGGAACAGGCCCCAGCTGTTCCTCCTCCTCCTCCTCCTCACTCATCTCTGACTCCAAAGGCAGCTGCCTCTCCGATGGCTGGGAAATGTCAGCATGCCCTGGCTCTATCTCTGTGTCCGACGCTGAGCATCCGTCAGAGCCTTCCCCAAACTCCAGAACTGGCCCAAGTTCTTCCCCAACCTCCTCATCATCTGAGTCTGCCACCAGCTCCGCTGGCAACTGGCGGGACACAACACACGGGACGCCAGCAACTGTTCTGACCTAGGCTTCCCCAAACCACGAAGCAGACTCCTTGTCCCGACAAACCCCCTTTTTATTAAGTTACTGTGAATTCCCTTCATTCACACCCAGCAAAGTCCCAGCAAACAGTCTTTGCAGGGTGAATTTACAACCACAGACCTTATCTGGGCTTGGAGAGCTGCCAGGGTTATATCATCAAAATCCAATGCTGGACAAAAAAAGTACTTAGCAAGGAGTCTCTTTTTTTTTTTTTATTTGATTTATATGCCGCCCTTCTCCGAAGACTCAGGGCGGCTTACAATGTGCTCAGCAATAGCCTTCATCCTTTTGTATATTTATACAAAGTCAGCTTATTGCCCCCACAAACTGGGTCCTCATTTCACCTACCTTAGAAAGGATGGAAGGCTGAGTCAACCTTGAGCCTTGGCGAGATTCGAACCCTGCAGTAATTGCAGGCAGCTGGGCTTAATAACCAGCTTAATAACAGGGTGCCTTAAACCCCTGTACTACCAAGGCTCTCTGAGAGTCCTGAACCAATTAAGCGAACTAATTATCTCCTGCAAACTCCACTCCCCTTTCACTCCTCTTTATTCCCTAGGGGAGGGGCCATTCACTGGCCACCTATGCCTTTACTCCTGAGTCAGCCCTTGTTCCTTAACTGTTCCCTTCTCCTGGCAGCTCTGTGTATGCGGACATCGGGAACAGGCTCCAGCTGTTCTTCTGCCCCATTGATCTCCAACTCTGAAGGCACCTGATAACTGGAGGCCCCATCTCTGCCTCCGATGCAGAGCCCTCGTCAGAGCCTTCCCCAGACTCCAGGACGGGCCCATGTTCCTCCCCAACCTCCTCACTGTCTGAGTCTGGCAGCTGGCGGGCCACAACACGTGGCCATGGAAACACGCGAAGCCCCATCCGTGGGATGCAGGCAGCACACGCAACCACACGCTCTCCAGTCCATGGAAAAAAACCTCTCCCCATGGAACCGGTTCCTGGTGCCCAAAAGTTTGGGGGCTGCTGGCTTAAGAAACAGGTCTCATTTGGACTTACCAGCAATAACCCCTCGGCCAAATTTCTCCCCCTCCGCTAACAGATCTTCAACCTGAGCCGAAGTCCAACCGAGTCTGTTCAAGAGAACGTCTCTCCAGCTGTCATCTTCCCAGTCTCTAAAAGCTATGTGGACAGCAAGAGTCCCATCTTGATGGTTGGCCAACAGCGGCCGCCAACGGCTCTCGATGGTTTTGACGTTGTTTAATACCAGCCCGGCGTACGGTTGTCGGAAGGAGAGGCAGGCGAACTTCATTTTCCTGCGGGGTTATCCTCTCCTGGATTCTATCATCTGCTACATACACCCAAAGAGAATAAAATCAGAATTAAGTAGCAATAGCACTTCGACTTATATACCGCTTTACAGTGCTTCACAGCCCTCTCTAAGCGGTTTACAGAGTCAGCCTCTTGCCCCCAAACAATCTGGCTCCTCATTTCACCCACCTCGGAAGGATGGATGGTTGAGTCAACCTT